ATATTCAAAGTTGGGCTTTGGCATCATTAGTGATAATAGCAATGCTGTATAGATTGAGAGACTACTTTAGAGAGAGAGAGAGAGAGAGAGTGTGTGTGTGTGTGTGAGGAAAGGTGCCCCTCATCACTTCCATTTGTCTGTACCATGGATCTTCCATTTGAAAATGTCTAAGAATACATAAATAAATCATAGAATCAGATATACTTTTCACCTTCTTCCATGACATATGCCGCATCCAATGTCCCTACAAAATTATTCCAAAAAGACCTGTCCAGTAGTTCAAAAATACATATTATTATATTTCATGGCATTAAAGATGGGGCCTCCAACGGCTCTCCAAATGACCCAAAATTTTGATCCAATAAAAATAAATAAATAATAAAATAAATGTCCCCACTTATACAGCCATACGTCTCAAAAATTGCTTCAAAATGGTCCAAAAATGGACACATTGTGGCCCAAATTTTACTTCTGAAGGTCCCAAAAACCAGAAAATTACTTCTTAAATTCCTGGCCCAAAAGTCTCAAATTCTGGACTTTTAACTACAGGCCACAATATTGTCTCAAGGCCTCTTTTACGCCCTAAAGTTTCAGCTTTTTAAGGCCCAAAAAGTTTATTACCAAGTTAATCTTGTCATTTTAAATCTAGTCTCTTTTAAGATTATGGTAAAATTAAATTGATTAAAAATTAATTTGTGAAAATTCAAATTAAATTCAAACTAGGATAGACTTGATTCTAGACAGGAGCTAATTCCCCGACTTAAATACATAGACAACTTAATACATTAAGTGTAATCACAAAATCAAATAATTTAAAAATTAAATTTTAAATTAAAAATTATGCTTTTATTTAATTCCAATTCGGAGCCAATTCTTTACTTGAATGCGTAGACAATCCATTTCATTTTGGTGTAGCCATAAAATCAAATAATTTTCAAATCAAAATTCAAAATAATGGTTGATTTGATTTTAATTTGAATTATTCATTTGAACTAATTGACACGGATACTCAAAATAATGAATTCGTTTTATTTTATTTTTTGTGAATGCAAATGTTAATTTAAATCAAATGTTAGGTCATTCATCCATTCAAATCAAACCCAAAATAATAATGGGTCATCTACCCATTAAAAACAAAATAAATTTCAAATTAGATGGGTTATATACCCATCAAACTCAAAATAAAAAAATAAAATAAAGAATATGTTCATTGTCCTAAATCAACAATGATTGAGACTCCCTTTTTTGGGGACCCCATAATCCCTTTTAGATCACAACTGTGTGAGCCCCACAAATACATGAATGGATCTCACACATATGTCAATGGCTGAGATCCAAAAAGAGTTGTGGGAATCTCCAAAAAAAGAGGGTCCCAAGCATTTTTAGTCCTAAATTATGTTGGGCTTGATCCCATAATATACAAATGTACACAGCCTAGATAAATAATCTCGATCCCAAAAAAAAAAAAATCCCCCTCTATTTTTGAGCCATTGAATGAGCTATTTTTTAAGTCATGGAATGTAAATTAATTTTTTTTATCCTGGACCAATTTTAATTTTTTATTTTTTTACTAATGAATGGGCCCATTTAAGTTAATTTTAAAGTTTATCCGGAGATAGTATGTTTTCTTCGCATACTTCATACATGTCAATTTTGAATGGACAAAAAATCCTCTCCAAATTCCCTTCATTTTGGCAACCATGATTCATTGTCGTCAGCCTCCATTTTGATAATTTTTTTAAAGCAAAACTTCATTTTTGCTTCCACTACCTTCTGTCCACCCCCACCCAACCCAACCCAACCCAACCCAACCCGACCTTCTCTTTCATCCTCCCTTGTTTACTTTCAACAAATTTTATTTGTCGATACTATAATCTTTATTTAAAATTCATATCAATATCTTTAACTTTTACAATTTAAATAATTTTTTTAACGTTGACTAAGAGAATGAAAATGGTGTAAATATAATATTTGTATCAAATGAAAGAGGTTTTTGGTCTTTTTTTTTATTCGACAGAGGGAATAGTATCCTTTTTTGATAATTTAAGATTTGATCATTTTTTATTTACTCCCAAAGAAACTATTGGTAACATTTTTAATTTTGAAAATTATTTTGATTAATAATTTCTTTCATATATATACATATAGTTAACAAAAATATAATAAGTCTTACCTTTTTTTTATTTGAGGTCATAAGTGAACACTCGAACTGCCTACTGTTGAACCAGTATTAAATAGCTGTTACCGAAAACAAAATTAATGCAACAATCACCTAAAATGGGCCAATTGGAGGAACACTGCAGCGGAAAAACTAGTTACATTATAACAATGAGCTAAATTAATTATCACAGGCAATGGTCAATGGACAATTAGATTAGGGGAAATTGCACATAAATGAAAAGTTCAACAAATAATTGCAAGATCAATGAGAATCTAAAATAATTGCACAATACATTGGAAACTAAGAAGACTTTTGCAAAATCATAATTCAATCATAGTTTGGTCCTGTTTGGTAGGACTTATTTTCAGCTTATTTCAGCTTTTATCTTAATTTAAGCTATTTTGATGTGTTTGGTTCAGCTTAACAATAGGGCCGTTTGGTAAAACTGAAATTCAGCTTAAAGCAGCTTTTAGCTTAAATTAAGTTAGATTGGTGTGTTTGGTACAGATTATGGGGATAGATTATGGCTTATTTTAAGCTAAATTTCAGCTTAAATTCGAAGTTGCTCGGCAGGTGCTTACAAAAATAGATTATGCGCGCAGCTGTTTTGGGAGGGACAGAATGACTTAAATGCCCCTCCAAAACTTAAGGAATATCGAAAATGCCACTATATAAGCATGCCTCTTCAGCTCAGACCTAACTCTCCTTTTCTCCTCTCCTCTCAAACGACGCTGCTCCTCTTCTCCTCTCCTCTCGCTGCCGACTGCTCCAGACATCAAAATCGTCGGCGATCGTCCATATTTTCCGTTGATCTCCACCAAAAGTAAGATTTGAAACCCTAAACCCTATGTTTTGTTATATATAGATATACATATATTAGATATATACATCGATTTAGGGTTTTTTTTGGTTTTTTGTTACTCTGTGTTCAAATCCATGAAGATTTGTGTTTGTTTGTGGTTCTGGTTGCTCTCTCGCTCTCTCTCTCTCTCTCTCTCTCTCATCGATTTTGGTTTGTGGTTCAAAGTTTGCAGTTCTGTTCCCAAAAGCTGTGTTTACAGTCTCAAAAGTAAATAATACAAACACTAAAAAATTTGCTGAAATGCTACTCGTGAATTATCACATTTCCTCTTAACTTGGCTTTGGGGCAAAAAAATAAAGGGGCAAATTTGTAGGGCAAATTATATGTTGGACCGTTTAAGTATGCAAATCCTTAATTTGTAATTGTTGACTTTTTGTCAAGGTTGGAGTATTGCTAGCTCAGATTGGAGTATTTTCTTTTGTTCTCTTAAGCCGTGCCTCAAATCTTCATCTAGCACAGACACACATTCTTAAAGCATGCATGTTGATGTCTGTAATGTAGATCCCACTTTCATTTACTTTATCTTTTATTGGTAATATGAATGGCATACTTATAATGTTGCTAGCACTGGGCCAATTATTTCTTGCACAAATTCCGGAGAGTAGTTGTGTGTAATGTTTGGTGGACAACATGGCAGGGAACCAGCCATGTTGATAAATTTTCAACTCAGAGACATTAATCTAATAGTTATGATCTTGATCTTGCTCTCGCTATTTTTCACAGATAATTTGTACTTTGTATGGCAACTGATTTGGTCACAGAGTTGTTCAACACTTGCAAACTGAATCGTTGATTTCAATATTAAAGCCTGGAATTATCATTTTTTATAATAGTGTATGAAAAATCATCTAAAATATGAATAATCACAAGTAACCACTTCCTCTGCAAAATAGAAATGGTTGGGGGGCGTCTTAATAGATTTGTTAGAGTTTTTTTTTTTTTAATACTGTTTTTAGGTTGACATTTTTAAAAATGTTTTTGGTCCTTTTTTGTTGCTTAATTGGCTCGTTTTGATTGTAATATCATACATTAGTCAAAGAAAAATGAAAACAATGAAAACAAATTTAGAGGGCATTTAGTTAGTCTGATCCTTTTGGATGAAAACAATGAAACCGCAGGGGAATATTGGATGAATATGGAATGCATAACTAATTCAATGAAAACAATGAAACTGTAGTTTTGATTTATGGATGAATATGGAATGAAAACAATGAAAACAAATTTATGGGTTCACGTTTTTATTCCAAACTTTTGTTTCTACCTGAAGCTATTAAACTGCAGGGGTTATTTTAAACTAAAATACTATTAGTATAACTTATAAGTTTAACATTATTACTATTAGTTTAACATTATTTTGATTGATTTTTATTCTTAAATTAGGTTATAAATTATTTTTTAGTATTACTAAAATTATTTTTACTATTAGTTTGGGGCATGATGATTGACCTTTAAGAAGTGAAAAATGAGAAATTTCATAGTTGTTCACTGAAAACCCCATTGACACAAGTTGTTATTCTTATTATTTTTAATATTCGTAACACCTGCAATTATATATCATCATGGTTGGTCTCGTTATTTTAAAAAATGATAGTAAGTGTTACATGTAGTACACATGACATTGCTAATTTTGTTGGACCAACATATGGGCTTGAAAGGCATTGGATTATCTCAAACTTCTTAGTGCTTAGGTGTGAATGCCTTTATTAATTTTACCTTTCTCATTAAGAAATGCCTTTTCCAAATGAGGATTTGGATTCAATTTTTCCTAATTAATGCAGAGGCATGTCATCCTCTAGTAACTATTATTCTAATGGTGAGAGCTTCGACTTGAGGTATGAGCCTTTGAAATGTGATTGTGGGCTAAGAGCTGCCATAAGGGTTACCCAGTCTGACAAGCCATCTAAAGGGAGACTATATTTCATTTGTGAGAAGAGAAATTGTCAATTTTGGAGGTGGTGTACCCCAAAATTTGTAACGATGTTAGAGAGGCTGAGGAACGAGAGCATGCTTGATCAAAATCAAAATATGGAGACTGTAGGACTAAAAGTGAAGAACCAAATGCTTGAGCAATCCAATGCTTTCATGAAGTAGCTTGTTGTGGGTTTGCTCACGATTTGTATTGTTATGTCAGTTGCATTACTCTTCAAATGATGATAGGTGCCATTTGGAGATACCCCATGTTTTTGTACTAATGTAGTTTACTATGAACTATTGTACTAAGCTTTGTAATTGTTGAATGTTGACGTAGTTGCCATGTATGGTTGTTTTGGTTGGGATCTATCTGTTCTAATGCAAGCACTGATGAATGGGTTTGTTTTAAATGTTTTTTTTTTCTTTCATAGAATGAGTAACCAAGACGAAACACAGTCTCAAAATAGGAACAATAAGGGAAAATCAAGTCAAGTACCATCCGTTAAAGCTCATTGAGATGCAAAATCAAATGAAATTTTTATTAAGCTTTGTATTGAGCAAGTCAAGGTTGGACATAGACCTGGTACACACTTAGATAGGGTCGGTTGGGAAAATGTCATAAGTAAGTTTAAAAGTATGACTAGAAAAGCATACCAACGATTACAAATGAAAAATCATTGGGATGTTTTGAAAAAAGATTGACTTTTATGGAATAATCTGTTAAGTGGCGAGACAGGATTAGGCCGTGATACATTGACTGGAGCTATATCTGCATCTGATGAGTGGTGGACTTTGAAATTGGAGGTACGTGAATTGCTTAATGTACATTTTGTTTGTTTTTAGTTTAAATACACCAAATTTTGTTACTTGAAATTGTTACATTTTCCTTTGTAATTGTTGTAGAGGTATCCTGATGTTGCTAAATTTCGGCGTATGCCGTTGCAATTCGCTGACGACTTAGACATACTATTCTCAGATGCAACTGCTACAGGAGAATGGGCATACACTCCTAGCTCAGGGGTAATGCCTCAGACTGATGAGACGCCGGAGGAATTTCATACCCCACATGATGTTGAATTTCATGATGATGCTGATTTGGAGGTGGTTCATCCTTCCGAGTTAAACAAAAAACGGTCAGCAAACACTGATACTTCATCAACCAAGAGCAAGACAAAGAAGAAAGTTACTGGTGCAGCTTTGCTGAACAAGACACTTGATCGTATAGTTAATGTCGTTGAGTCATCTTCAGCAACTTCAACACAGACCTCATCAAGATATCCTTCAATTGCAGAATGTTTGGCGAAGTTGGAAAGCATCCCTGGTGTGTCCCCGGATGATGAGCTGTATGTATGGGCTGCCAGATTGTTCTTACGAGACAAGCGTCGTGAGTGCTTTATGAGTCTTCCAACGGATGAAGTTCGGTTGAGGTTTCTAAAGTTAGAGATTGAGATGGAGAAGACCACCACAGGTTATCACGGCTAGTTGTTTTTTACTTTATTTGTTGGACTTTGATGGATATTTATTAACTATGTTGGACTTTTATTATTAATATTTAACTATGCTGGACTTTGATTGATATTGAAAAATGTTGGGACTTTTATTATTAATATTTGACTATGTTGGACTTTGATTAATATTGAAAAATGTTGGACTTTTCATAGTTGAATGGTAGGTAAATAGTTGACTAGTTGAATGTTAGTTGAATAGTTGAATGGTTGGTTTCAATTTTGAATATGAATGGTAGGTGAATGGTTGTTTTTTTTTATATATATGTACATGTTTTCCAAGTGGTGTGTTCATTTTACAGCTGTTTGTGGTGTGTTCAACTTGGTGGTGTGTTTTCTTTGTGGTGTGTTCAACTTTATTTTCCAGGTGGTGTGTTCAACTTTAATAGTCAACTGTTGTGTTCATTAAGGTAACATTTTACAAAGTTCAATTTGCTTGCTGTTTGTAACAGTTTACAAAGTTCAATTAGTTTGAATTTTAATAATAATTCTGAAACTCTAAAACTCATTAAATGATAATTCTGTCAAAGTTCAAATGTTAATTCTGCTAATTCTGTCAAAGTTCAAATGATAAATGATAATTCTGTTTGAATTTACAAAGTTCAATTTGCATTACTTGCTGTTTGTAACTTTTGATAAATGAAGTGAAGAAGCCGAAAAATGAAGTTCCGATAAATGAAGTTCAATTTGCATTAGCCCAGATGAAGAGGTAAGGCCAATAATAGTCTAGTAGATATTGCTAATTTTACATCTGTTTTTTCATTTATTTCTTTTACTCAAAAAAGTGTTTGGAATTTCATTCTGATTAATTTTAAAATAAATGTAAATTTGTCCTACATATACTAAATAAGAAATATTAAACCTAAGCCCTCAGGTGGATTTAAGCTTTTTTTTTTTTTAAATTTTAAAGTTGATTAAATCCATTCATAGATAAATAATGGATGACAGAAAATTATTCTATAGTGCATTAAGAGCTATGGAATAAATAATCTCCCATATTCCAACCATCTTGACTTTTTTTATTTTATTTTATTAAAAAGGATTAGTAGCTCTATTCTTTAATAACTTTGAAATCTGTGATTGTAATGAATATAATAGTAACTAAGCCTTTTAATGGGTAGGTATTTTGGAGATGAATAACAGTGATAGCGAATGGAATGATGATTACCATGATGAAGATACTGAAGATGAAGGCAGCACATTGGAAACTCAACAACATAACATGCTCTTAGCTACGGCGACAACAGTTGCAGTGACATATGCAACAAATTATTTGGTAAAAGAACCATGTAGGACATCTAGTTTAACAGGGGGGAAGTGGATGGTAGAATTACAAGAGGGGAATCGGACAAGAATATTTGAAAATTTTCGAATGGAAAGAGAGGTATTTTATCAATTGTGTGATTTGTTACATACAAAGTATGGCCTTGAAACTGGACGAAAAGTCTCGGTTCAGGAGCAGGTTGCAATATTTTTGTATATTGTTGGCGGTGACATACGAAACAGAAATGCCCAAGAAAGATTTCAACATTCTGGCGAGACTATTTCAAAATACTTCAAGAATGTGTTAAAAGTTGTTACAAGGATGTCTATTGATTGGGAAAAGCCTCAACCGAGAAATGGTGTGCATCCATATATTCGAAGGAAGCGCAAATATTATCCTCATTTCAAGGTAAAAAAATGATTACAAGTGGAACTTCGGTATTACATATAATAATGTTGGTCGGATATTTCTAATAATTTGTGACTAAAAATAATTTTATGAACTATTTTGTAATAGGATTGTATTGGATCAATTGACGGAACACACATCAAAGCATATATATCTCCAGATAAGCAACCTCGTTTAATAGGTAGAAAGGGGTATGCAACTCAAAACATAATGGCCGCATGTGACTTTGATATGTGTTTCACCTTTTGCTTATCAGGATGGGAAGGAAGTGCACACGATGCTCGGATCTTCTTAGATGCAATTAGGAATCCTAGTTTTAATTTTCCAAAATCACAAGGAGGTAACTGTTTTATATTTGATTGCTACAATAGATGCACCACACTCACATCTTCATATTTATTTTTGCATTTATAATTGCTTACTTTAATTTCATTTTGAAATTTTAAAATAGATGAGTTTTACATGGTGGATGCTGGGTATCCAAACATGAAAGGATATCTTGCACCTTACAAAGGAGAGAGATATCATCTAGCTCAATTTGAAGATGGTCAACCCCCTCAAAATGCACAAGAAAAATTCAACCAAGCACATTCATCACTTAGAAGTGTAATAGAA